TCGTCAGGGAGACATTTGCGAACCCCTCGACTGAGAGGAGCCTTTTTAAGGACAAAAACCACATTTTTCTTTTGTTTTTTGTTTTTATTTGTCGAATTAACACATTTAAAAACAAAGAAAAGAAAAAAAAAACAAGGCCTGCAGGTTCACCACGGAAATCGGCGTGAAGGAGTGGTAGGGCGAAGAGGAGGAGGAGGAGAAATTCAGACGTTTGAAGTCGTTGTCCATTTGATTAGTAACCCCAAGATGGATCACTTAAGCAGTGGGACGCGATACACCCCAGCGTCGGTAAGTCACTTGTTTCCTTTTGTTCAGTGATGGGGCTTCACATTGCTTTCACTTATTTCCTGATACTCACGCATAGACGAAGTCAACCAAATTGCCGTAGAAACACAGTGAAAGACGTGTGGGTAGAAACATCTCCACTCAGCAAATTTTTCAGACTTAAAGTGTAAGGGTACTTGTGTTTGTGTTACACACACACACACACACACACACTTACTTGATGTCAGTGTATTAAGCTGTGCTATCTTGACTGACTCACTCAGCAAAAACTGGTTTGCCTACAGACAAACAAGTTAGTGAGTGGAAAAGAACTTCAATACTCAGAAACAGTTTCCAGTTTCATGTACTGACAAGAGCAGTTAATTGAGCAACCCACACTCCGTTTTCAGCTTTTCACCTTTTTAAATCACTAATAGCTAAAGAGTATTTAATGAGCATCTAGACATCGATTAATGCACACACTGAGACAATCAGTGCCACACAGCCACACAGTTATTTGTGCATCTGTTTATTGAGACTCAATAACAAGTTACTCAGTGTTTGTGTAAATTGTATTCTAATATAGTAACATGCATGTGCTATACTTCTAAAATCTTACAAATGTAATCAGTATATCACAATATCGTATCATAATGACCAAAAACAAACCTTTACAAGGAAACTAATAAAAGCTGGTGGTGGTTTGCACTGCTCCCTAACAGCAAGAAGATCCTGAGTTCGTCTGGTCAGGGACTTTCTGTGTGAAGTTTGCATGTTCTCACGGGGTCTGTGTGGGTTTGTTCCAGGTACTCCGGCTTCCTCCCGCAATCCAAAGAATGGCACTTTGCGGGGTTAGGTTAATTAGTGATTCTAAATAGCCCGTAGGGGTGAATGTGATAGTGTCTGTCTCTCAGGGCGTACCCCACCTCTCGCCTTATGGCAGCAGCTGGGATAGGGTCCACCCCCCCTGCAACCCATGAATGAAATAAGTGGAAGAGGATGGGTGGATGTATGGAAAACTCTAATAATTCTGCTTATGTGGCTGCATTCCCAAAGCTCATTAATTACACTCAACAAAATGAGCTATGGGATCTTCCAATCTGCAGAATGCCAGAAATTAAGGTTTCAGAACCTGTCGACAAAAAGTACTCAAAACTCTAGATAACCTTCTTTTCATCAAGTAACTTCAGCATATATTTTTAAGGGTATTGGACATAAAAACATCCAGGAACCTTCACAGTTCCCAGAGCAGCTGGCCCTCCCAAGGTTGTGGTCTGAATTCCTCCACCTTGTTTCAACTTGTTCACTCTAGTCATTCTCCTTTGTAGATTATCTATCCAAGATAGCTCTAACTCTACATCGTAACATTGTGTTGATAAATAAAACGTGTGTGATTAGTCCCTTATAGTGTCAAGGTTTTGCACAGTGGAGCAGGTGTGAATGGTATTTGACTTCTACATTGCTCTGCTGTACCGTGCATGTCGTGGTTGTTGATAGAGGGGCTGGGACTGTTCTGATTGTATGTGTTCTTCAAGTATAATTAGCAATTTTCTGTTAAAACCTGACATTTTAGATGCCGGGCCATTTAAAGAAATTTTCTTTAACAGTTTAACCTAACACTAAGACTTACATTTTGAGCTTCACGAAGAGTTTAAATACACTGTTTTTACATATATGAATGGATCTTAGTACTATATCTGTTGTTGCAAATTCTTCCTTTTATTAACCTAGACCCTTTATGTTGCAACTTGATCAGTGAGTCCACACATGAGAACAATGAAGTGGATATAGATTGCATAAACTCTTCAGTTAGCATTTAACATTATGATTAATTGTGACAAATATAAAGCTTGCTCTTTACAAATAACTATTCAGCACATTTATATGCTTGAGTCATGACCTCATCAGTGGAAAATAATATATTATTTAATTATATAATGAGCTTCAAGTTTAAACAGGCAGAAAGAAAGCATTTCCAGTGGTTTATAAAGCAAAAAAAAGGCAAAAGCATGTCGTAGTCTTTTATTTCTTTTATTAACGTTACGCTACACAAAGCACTTACAGAAACATGTTGTTTGTGAGTAGTTGCTGCCAAGCAGGTTTGACAGGATTTTACATGCTGAAACCTTTGTACTCCCTCCCCCCCCAGTCTCACCTCTGAAAGGTAACAGCAGAGCATGAGTCATGGCATGAAGTTCTCATTTCATTCATTAACAGCACAAGACAGTGAATCTCTCTTTTCTGTTGCTCACGAGCCAATTTTTTGCTCACAGATTTTTTTAAATATGTCTCTTTCAGTTGGAAAAATCTATTTCAAAAGAAAACTATTATAACATTTCAAGCTTCAATGTGTCACACTTCTTGTATCTGAGAACAGAGTTATGTAGGTCACCAATAGCAGGGACATTCCTTAAATACACAAGTGTTGGCTTGCTGTGTGCTGCTGTTGCTTATCTTTATGATCATCTTTTCATGAGAGTGTGAGATGCTTTGCTTTGCTCTCCTTTGCACCTTTATCTACACAAGTCTAAACCTTTTGTAATTTTGATTAATATTTAGAGCTGGCTGATATTAATGCACCTGAGTTTTACATGTTGATCTGTCTCTCGTCTGTTTAACTGTCTGTCTTTCATCAAGGACAAAGACTGGGATGATAATGATTTCCACTTACAAGCATCGGACACCAAAAGGCTTGAGAAGAAAAAGCACCCAGGGAAAGCTGGGGTTGTGATTGGCGTGGTGATCTTGGCCGCTCTTGTAGCTCTTATGGCTGGAATACTAGTCTGGCATTTCCACTGTAAGTGCATCTCTGTTTAACAGGCAACTGTACCGCACGTACATTTTGTTCAAAACCTGCAGCGTTGAACGAATGGTACACACTCTGCTACAGATAAACAACGAATAAATGTCATAAAAACAAAATTAAATTTACAGTAAAAAACACAAGGTTGAAAGCTTATTGCTAAAGGTTAAGTAACTAAATCATTCCTATATTTGTGGCATGCATGAGTCATCTCTACCCATCTGTAATTCTCTAACAGTTGCAATCTGTTGCATCAAATTTCACCGAAATCTGACGAGCTTCAAGAAACAAATGCAGTCCCGAGTTTATTTCTATAAATGCGTAAAAATATATAAGCATACGTGGTTTTCAAAAGTTCAAAAATAACTTTTTATTCTGTTTGTATGTTTGCACATGGAAACCTACACTTTAGACAGTTTTAAAGCTCGTGATTTAAAAGAGCTAGAATCGAGGGTTTACTGAAGGGATAGTTAAATCTCAATGAGAGAAAGAAACATTTGAAAGTCACAAGAAGTAACAGCGGTAACACTTGGCATAGGAGAAGAAGCAGTAGTGAATACTAAGCGTGTTTCATGTGCTGTGGTTCACATTGAGTCTTTTGTTATCCTAAAGTCCGTAAACACCAGCGGGTCAACAGGATGTACAGCGGGTCCATGCGGATCACCAACCAGGCATTTATCAACGACTATGAGAACTCCAGCACTCCAGAGTTTAAGGCTTTAGCAAAGCAGGTGATTTCACAGGTAAGAATGCCACCGACTTCTGTATGTCAACACTATTTTCATTTTCATTTCATTTCATTTTTCATGATTTTGCTTCAATCTCTTTTCAGCTTAAAGTCGTCTATTCCAAAAGTCCTCAATTGTCAAAATACTACCGCGAGTCTACAGTTCAGGCCTTCAGGTGAGCTCATGAAGTGTGAAGGAATAAATCCTTCAAACTTTCCATGTATGTATGTATGTATATGTGTGTGTAATGGTCATGTGTTTGTTGTTTCTAACCCTGCTGTCATTGCTCTTAGTGAGGGCAGCGTCATTGCCTACTACCTGTCTGAGTTCAACATCCCCGTGGGGCAAGAAAGAGCAGTCGACAACGAAATGACTTCAGTAGATAAGCTAGTGAAAAAAATGCGCATGTCTATCAGTGAATTGACTTTTGAAAATGTGGTCACTTCAGGTACAGTGAAAGCAACTGCTTGTCATTCTATATCAAACATACGCTTTTGTTTGTTATATTGTCAGTTGTCACGTTGTATCTGGTTGTTTTTGTTTTTCAGTCAGTCCTAACCTTATGTCTTTTTACTTCTTTTTCAACTTTACAGTTCTGGATGATCGCATGTTTTCAAGATCCTTTAAGGGTAAGTGTTCAAGTTTTGTTTTTTGTTTTTAACATTTCACTAGAAGTGCTACTAACAAATCCTCTACATAGACTGAAAATAGTAAACCACATATACCATACACTATAGAACATGTTACCAGGGACGACACCTTTCTTCACTATTGTTAGTCTCTTTTTAGAGTAGAACATTTTTCTGCCATGGACGCTATCAAAAGGGCGCTTGTTTACTTCTTCTTTCCATACCCAATTTTTTTTTTTTAAAT